GACTATTAAATAAAGGGGATCACGCATTTCAATTCTCCGAAGGGAAATTATTTTCTAATCAATACAGAAATTTCCGCGTAAAAAAAATTGGAGGGAACACAGAGGAGGTCCTTGACATTCTAGGTGTTGATGCACAGGGAAGTAAAGATTAGTGTCTTTTGTGGTATGACCTGTTGTATGGCAAGAGGAACCCGATGCCGCAAAGTATCAGGGCGAAATATACGAAGTTCCGTTTGTCCACCGGCGGCGACAGATGCGTGAAGCCGTTCGAGAATTTGAACTCGTTCATGCCTCTCGCTTTTCCTAATTGCACGTAGCCCCGGCTTAAATTCTCATCCATGTTTCGCCGAAGAGCTGTCGGTGATGACGGTCCAGATAGAACGTCGAACTAGCTAACTAGTTTTTTTATGGATCCATCGTTCACCAACGAGACCGGTTCACCATATGCTGATTACCACTGAATTTCACCGGGTACAAGTATCTTGCACTAATCAACGACCAGTTTAATCGCACCTGATCAGCACCGTATTTATTTCTTCACGCGTAATACAGACCGTGATCCGCGATCTTCCTGGCGCATGCTTTGAACATCTTCAGTAGCATTGATTTCTGCGCGCGCTTCCACCACCCCCCTAGGAGACGATCTACCGGAAAATTTGACCGACGAGACACACCAAAGCTCGGACCAACGTTCAATTTCAATTCGAGAGCAAGGGATCAAGCTTTTTTTTTTATTGTTCATTGTAATAACGAATGTGTTTTGGCACTGCCTGAAATTCATCCGAGTTTGATCCGTCATTTTATTCATTCTTCCGCAGATATTTTTCGATCAAACTTTTTGCATTAATTTAATAATGCAGATTCACTTGTAATAGTGTAGAAGTATTATTAAGAATTCTCTTTTGAATTTGATTTTTTCTTTGTGTTGCATATCATGGATTACTTGCCTTTAGCTTTTATTTTGAGGAAATAGAGATAAAAGTGCTCTGCATTGTTCCTTGTTTCATTCGCGGTACTAGCAACGTAATCAGGAAATGGTTCAAGATTGAAATGTTTCTAACTGAAATTTATTGTAAGATTAGATTATAATATACATTGGTATAAGTATAATGTAAGAGATTTTAATGTTTATTTTCTATTACATTTAAAGAAGGGGTGGGTAATAGTTTTTTTGTAAGACGCTCGGTATATTTTACATACTGTGTTATTTGCTATAGTATGTTGTGACATGTATACGCTTGCGCACTGCGTCATACTTATCACTTATGAATCAGCTGATGAAGAAGTTGGCTGGTTGCAGTTTCAGCGGTATTTAGGGTAAAAGTTAAAAAAATGTCGTTAAATACAGCACACGCGAATGGCGGTGTTCTTATACATGCCGGAGAATAGTAAGTCGAAAATCTTCTTTTATCATTTTAATGAGTGTCAGTAGCATTTTGCACGTTGTCGTTCGTGACATTTCTACAACGTAGTTAACTTCGAGGCCTTCTTAAGGCGGCTTCCTTATATCAATAATCTCTCCGTTATTACTGATACCACTGTACACGAAAAGAAGACATCTCAATTTTTTTAATAATTCGAACATTTACATTGCAACTATGGTATTTCATACTTTTTCAATGTCTGATGCAATCAGTACAAGAACAAAAATGAGAAGAATTTTCTTTCCTTTAGCATATTATTATTCTGCGACAATGTTGTCATGGAATTTCATGGACCAGAACAACAAGAATTCTTGGGAAATAAGCATGGCCGATTATATTTGACTACGCATAGAATGATCTTTAATGCTAAAGATCAAAAGGAAAAGATGCAGTCTTTTAGCTTTCCTTTTGTAACGTTAAGCGGAATAGATGTCGAACAACCAATGTTTGGAGCTAATTATATTAAAGGCAAGTGCCGTGCCCAACCAAATGGCAATTGGATTGGAGAATGCAAGTTCAAATTGTATTTCAAGAGTGGTGGTGCAATAGAGTTTGGGCAGGCTATGTTGAGAGCAGCAGCAATAGGTAAGTCTATTGAAATTGTATGCACCTTATATTAATGTTTGTTCAATTGTAAAATATATTACCAAACATTATTAAACCTATCTCTAGCTCAGCGTAATAATGATCCTGCTTCTGATGTCCCGCCACCATACCAACCACCAACATCAAATTGGTACGCTGCTCCACCGCCAGCTTATGAAGCACCTACTGGATATTATGGTTGGGTACCACCTACTAGCGTGTTTCCAGATATGCCACCAGGTTAATTGTTCTTCTCACATTTAATAATATCTTTTGTGTTTGCTTCATTAACAATTTAATTGCCAGACTTGCCTATATGAAAATTTCCATAAAACTCAAATCATGCTTTAAGAAAATAAAAATTGCAATTCCTTTTTATGTCTTATGTTATCACTAAGATTGTAAGGCTCTAACAATCTTTAATTTCTGTCATAACAGCTACTCTGTACACATTTGTTTTTAAATTGATGTATTTATTTCTTCTATTTAGCTGTGAACTATAGGTTGATGATGTGGCAATTAAAATGTTAATCATCTCTTTACATAAACCTATTTCATTGATGCAGCATGATTATTTAAAATTGTATTATACGTGTATATAGTGAACACTGTATTTATGACGGACATGCCACCTCCATATCCTGGCATAAATTCACCTTATGCGAGTGGTGCACCTCAACAAGGTACATGGGGTGCTGCTGGACAACAACAATCTGGATGGGCACCTCCTCAACAGAATGGTGCACTTGGATGGGCAAATCCAAATTATAATAATCAGCCAATGTCCCAAGCAGGTGGGTATCCAAATTACCAGCAGCCACCTTACAGTGGTTATCCACAAAATCCACCACCATACTCTGCATATCCTCCAAGCAATAACTATCCACAGCCTCAATATTATCCGCAACAGAATCCTTACAAACCGTATCCACCTAGTTACTAATTGTATAACGTTTATGATAATACAATTTTTTATATAATATTATATACATATATACATGTGAAACTTATGAAATTTGGTACATTTAGAATTAATACTTTAAAAGTAATTCTTGAAAGCAAATGTGTGATATTGTAAAGATGGAATATAGTATACATTTCTTTGTTTAAAATGTTTAAAGCGTACAGAAAATATTTTTTTAAAACAAAGAATACAAGTATATATGTACTACTATATTTCATTATAACACATTTAAAAGGTACATGATAA